GCAGCCAGATCTCATTCAAGTAGATAAAGCACCACAGCAGGTGCAAGAAGAACGAGAATACACTATTACTAGAGATTGGTCTAGACTATATATCTAACCACCATGAAAATATGAAGATACGATAGCTTATGCATTATCGGTTGATAATTTTGTGCCCTTCGGCTATTCAGGAGTACTTCAGGTGATAACTTCGCTAATATTTATGATCGTCATGTTGAGGAGGCCTCTTTTAGTTAGCAAGTTCAAGTCAGGCTTGGACTTGATCGATATGTACAACACTTAGATGCCCTGCGGGGCTATTGGAGAAGGTGGAGTAAGTTGGCTTATTTTGGAGTGATAAATCTTCTACGCATTTGAGTCGAAGTGGAGATTTATTATAGGTTGTCTCAAATACTCAAATCCATATTGCTTTGGGTGTTCCTTTTCAACTTGGTTTGTTTTGATCAAGAGTTCTACTTACATTAGACTTTGCACAACCAATCATATTAGAGGTTTATTCCTACTTGTTCTCTTGTTGGGTTTTAGGACATGTGGACTTCTATTCCTATTTGATATCTTATTCCTTAGACAGTAAGGAGTAGGGATCTTCAAGGTTATATAAGAACTGTCTTTCAAGCCAATAATTATCATCAAATCAGACCACCAATCAAGAAGGGAGAGTTCTTTTGTGAAGCCTATTTGATATTCTTCTCTTTTGTTCCTTAGTTTGATAGGTTTTGTATTAGGCTTTTGGGGTGTGATTTAGGATTGAGAGATTCTACTTTGTACTCCTCACAATTAGTAAAGTTTTTCTTCTCCTTCGCTCGTGGACGTTGGCTATAAGTCGAACCACGTATATCTTTGTATTCGTGTGTTCTTGATCTTTTTTGTGCTCTCATGTGATTGATATTGGCTTATCCTGGGGAGTTGGTCATAACATACACAAAATTTTATTTGTCACTGTAATTCTCAAGAAAAAACTCTAAGTTTTGTATCTTGTAAGAAATGAATAGTATAACTCTTGTAATCTTGTTATGACTTCTCTATCAACGTAAAAAAAAATTATAGCTAACAACGTAGGCATGTGCCACGTCAGTAGCAAATTATTATACTAAACTTAATTTTATTAGTTTGCCAAAAAAATATTACGACCTTATACTTAGAATTAATAAATATATACCAATAAAATATTAGTTTCTATTAATCCTTTTAATTTTATAGAATAACATTAAAGTCTTTCTTTTGTAAAACGCATATCACTGGATTTGGATCCTCTCCAATTAGATGGCAATTGAAGAGCATCCAATTACCTCTATTGTTATCCTCTATTTCAATTTTAAAGGATGAGATAAATTCATGTAGGATTTCATCCATCATAATATCAGTTTTCACAATAATTGTTTTTAATATACTAGTTTTCAAGACAATATTTAGAGTCATGCATGGCTTCATCTCAGCCATTAAAGTTGGAAAAGAGGGTAACAATAGTGATAATTAGACTATCTTCAATTATCACCAAATTGAAAAGTATTCCTACTTTACTATCCCATTTCATCTCTCTGTCTCTTTTGCAGTTTTAGAAAAGAATTTTAGGATAGGTACAATATGATTTCCCATATTTGACCTTAGAAGGAAAGACATGAGAAAGTCAGCACCAAAGGAATCCATAAAAGATCGGTTATGCATAAAAATTTAGTAACATTT